TTGGCAGCCCTACTGAGACCCCCAATGTGTATTTAGATACCTTGACACAGTACGTTAAACCAGCTGTGACAAACATGGAGGTCAAAGTGAACTCTGACCTGAAGCTTGTCAGCCAGATTAAGGCAGTGGTAAAATCAAGCTTCTTTCAGCTCAGGCAGCTGATAAAATAAAGACATTTATTTCACAGCAGCACTTTGAGACAGTTATCCACGCCTTTGTTAGCACTCGGCTGGATTACTGTAATCAGTGTTGGGGAGTAACGGAATACATGTACCGCCGTTACGTATTTAAAATACAAAATATGAGTAACTGTATTCCGTTACAGTTACCGTTTAAAAAGGTGGTATTCAGAATACAGTTACTTTGTTGAAATAAATGGATTACACTGCGGTACTTTCCTGTTTCATATTGTCGCGGGTCAGGACTGTTTGGGTTTTGTTTGACAGCTACGTTCTGTTGTTCCAGGCGGCAGCGTTATGGTTGCCATGGTTACAGGGTGACGCTCTCTCTCTGTGTGTTTCCTGGGTGAGAGAGGCCTTTTTGTTGTTGTTGTTGTGCTAACAGGCAGAATGCTACAAGCATAGCTCTAAAGAATGTAGCATCATGGGCAGTGTAGTCCATGCTGCAGGGAGAATGGACTGCCATACACGTTATGTGTCTGTGAGCGAGGGAGGGAGAAAAAGGAAAAGTACGAGTTGTCATCGAGCAGAAACGGGAGCTGGAAGCATGTAAATATAATAATAACCACTGCAGCCAAACAGAGAGCCTGACGAGCCCAGCTGTAAGTAAGCTATTTAGACTCGACTGTACACCGTGTTTGTGTTTTCCTCCGAAACAATAAGTTCAGTTGGAGCAGTCTTTCAACGCCTCTCTCTGTCTCTGCTAGCAAAGTTGACCCAGACAACAAAGTAAAGCTATTTTTCGGCTACGAGCCCGACACGATCCCGACGTATTAGTCAGAGGTCCCTTTACTACGGTTCGGAGCCGCGGACCTTCAGTAATAGTAATAAATCACACAGCAATAGTACATTCACGTTGTTGTAAAAATGCATGATAATATATTAAGTAATCCAAAGTATTCAGAATACGTTACTGTCATTGAGTAACGTAACGGAATACGTTACAGAATACATTTTGGGGCATGTATTCTGTATTCTGTAATGGAATACATTTTAAAAGTAACCTTCCCAACACTGACTGTAATGCACTTTATATAGGGATCAGTGCTTCATACGTTACTCGTTTACAGTGGCGTGTCCAGCGGGGTGGCCTGTGCCCCCCCGGGCCTAATTTGCCAATTGTATGTTAAAATGTTCGTATTTTAATATTAAAAGATGTTTTTGCCCAAAACATATGTGCACTACATGTCAGTAAAAATACTATGCAAATATTGATGTCCTTGAATGCTGAATAAACACTGAAAAAGAACTGATTGTATCTCTTGTACTTTATCAACACAGTATCTAAAAACTTTGCACCGTAGTGGTTAAAATCTCATTCTAATAAGAGTTAAAAGCGCATTCGCTTATTAGGTTTACAGGGTTATTGAATTATGGTTAACGGTTGGTAGAACTGTTTTTAACATTATCTGACAATTACATCTGCCACCCTTCTCCAAATCTTTGCCCCTACCTGGCCCCCCCAACAAAAATTTTCTAGACACGCCACTGACACAAAGAAGGAAAACCCACCCGATTGACCAAAATCAACTCAAAATACTCCCACACAACAGAACCTCCTCTATTCCTCACTGGCTCCAAATCTTTCAGTAGAAATATCAGTGGTTCACTATTTGTCACCATCAAAATACTCCACAAATCTCGCGAATGATTCACTTCCTTATAAACCAGGGAATCAGACACCGAAGCAGTTACGTTCTAAATGAAGCTTCGGACGTCACTGATCCGAATTTGACGTATTTGACTGATATTGACCCTCATGTCCCGTTTATTCTGGGCTTGTACCTGTAAGAGCTTTGGGCCTGAAAGTTTGCACGAGTAGTATAGAGGCCCTTAGCGGTTACTCGGTGGCTTTTACTCGCTACATAAAAACTATTTCACCTTCCAGATACTGCATTATATGACATCGTCAGTTGGTGAACTTTCCTCTCATGGATATTTTGTATAATTAATTTGCATATCTCATATAGAGATGACTTGCACTGATTTCATTTCAGATAAATATTCCAATTTAAAACTGATCAGATGTGCAGGTGCTTTTTAGTCACCTGGCCACTATTTTAACTCACTGCAGCCAATCTGAGGTTTCACAGAATTTCCTTCACTGACCATCTTCAACCTTCAATCTCTACACTTGCAATGTTGCTGTTAATGAGAGCAGCTTTGCTGTAATCTTTAAAGATCATTCTCATGATGTTGCTTTGGAAATGTTTCTTAAGAATTTGTTGAGTTTAAGTAATATAACAGTAATTATAATTATGACAGAACATGGCAGATTTCAGTGAATGTGGAAAAATATCACAATCACAGCAGTTATAGCAGCATCCTTTAGATCCTTTAGCTGCTGCTCCAGAGAATTTTATTAGAGTAGAGTGGACATCATCACTGAGGGTCATTGCACAGAAGTGAAAACAGGAGGAAGCTACAGACCACTTCAGTGGTTCACGACTTTGTATCATTTGTATTGTAAAGATTTTTTCAAATTGTTATTTTATTTTGGGGATTTTATATTATTTTATGTCTGTATGTAGTTATTAGTAGGGATGGGTACCGGTGTCCGGTGCCATGATGGCACCGGTTCTGACATAAACGGTAGTAACCAGACCGAAAGCAGCGCACATTTCGGTGCTTTATTTCGGTGCTTTTTTTTCCTGAGCTGTGATACACTTTAGATTCTAGCCAATCATTTTACGTTTCCGAGGATAGTAGGCGGGCCCAGGTACGTACGTTCTTTTAGAGCAGAGCTACAGATTAAAAATGTCCAAGGTGAAGCGGTCAAAAGTCTGGCTGTACTTCACAGCAAAATATGCAAACTCAGCAGCAACAAGTGCTTTAAGCTGATACTGTGATACTGTCAAAGGAGGTAACACCTCAAATCCGATGAAACACCTGGCGACGCATTAAAAGCTGAGAAATGCGCCGTATTTGATAGCTTGCTGCGAGACCTCACACAGAGCACATCTACTGCGGGTGGGTTGCCTGTTATGCGACATCCCCCAAAAACACAAAGAGGAGAGTCCTGGCCCCTAGCCCTGCCAGTGTAGCAGAAATGATGACGGATGATGATGCAGCAGCAGCCGTTCTTTTCTGCGTGAGTAGCTTAATGTTGTTCGTGTGTAATTTACGTTGAGTAGGCTAACCACGTTATCACATTAATGCATGTAAGGTGAACTAGCAAACACCATCATAGCTACATGCAGCTGTCTTCTTGTTTGATGGCAGATACTAACTTCACCCTGGCCAAAAAGGCTAAAATGACCAAAGAAAAAGCGGAAAACAGTTAAACATGAGAGGTTTAGGACAAAGTTTGTGTTTTTTTCATTGTTTAAGCACTGCTTCCGGCCAAGAGTGATGCCATATATGCCCCATAGCTGCAGAAAAGGCTAACATTGTTATCTTTTTACATAAAAACCAGCTGAACATGAGAGGTTTTTGGACCAATTTTGTGTTCTCCATTCTTTAAGCACCGGTTTGAGCACCGTTTGAGCACCGGCACCGTCTCAAAAGTACCGATTTGGCACCGGTATCGGATAAAACCTAAACGATACCCATCCCTAGTTATTAGTTTTACACAAAATATAAAAACAGCACTTACAGAAGTTTTGTAAATTACTAAAGTATTTACTAAAGCTGTCTCCCCTGAGTGAGCATCAGGGCCCTCTGCAGGTTTTTTGTAGAAATGCAATCTTAGAATTAAGCTGATTTATCTGGAACACAAGATGGAAAACTTATATTCTCATTAAAGACAGAAAATAGATGCAAATGCGCAGAAATGTAACTGTTCATGCCTGTAAGAACAAAGATGAACAGCAGCTCTTGTCGTTTGGAGACTTTAACTTATATATAGAAGATCAAAATGTAAGGGTATGTGTGTCGTCACCGCATGTATAAAAAGGCTTTTTCCGAATCGCTTTCTCGCTTACGGCCATACCACCCTGAACACGCCCGATCTCGTCTGATCTCGGAAGCTAAGCAGGGTCGGGCCTGGTCAGTACTTGGATGGGAGACCTGGCAATACCAGGTGCTGTAAGCTTTTGCACTTCCACACACAAACTGCAGAGGGCGCCGCTGCTCACTCAGTGGAGATAGCATCAAGGAATACTATGATAACAAGGACATCACTTAATATTTCGGTATTTTGTTTTGAAATAATACAAATGACAGTTTAAATATAGAAACTAATCTGAGGCCCTCTTTTAGCTCATTTTCTAATAGGATGGTTAGTGTGTCTTGCAAAGCTTTTGCACTTCTAAACAAACTGCAGAGGGCGCTGCTGCTTTCTCAGGGGAGACTTTCTCTTTTCTTCACGTGGTAGTAGTTTTGAAATAATGAACTGAGGCGAGAGAAAAGAGTAAAATAGTTTATTTTATCAGTAAAGATCAACAGAAGGCACGAATAACAGAATCCAAGGGCAGAAGAGAGACCAGTGTCAGTATGTTATACAACCATGTGATCAGATAGCAAAATATACCTTTACATCCACCATCTAGCTCCAGGAGTTCATGGGTAAATCCTTGGAAGGCTGAAGAAATACTTCAACAGGACAAATCGCAGCCTTTTGCAAAAATATATCCATATATAATTATACACTTTTTTTCTACATGTCGAAGCAAATAAACTCTACAAAATGCAGAAAACTATCCGAGGACATGAACTGCTGATGCATTCATAAGAAAGTCCATGCTTATTATTCGCATCAGAGTATCACTGAATCAAAAATAGAAGCAGTACCTTTGTCAAAAACAGCAATAGGAAAAACTTACGAGTCCATAGAAAGCCAAAAAATATCAGCTTTGAAAACAAGAAGAGGAACACAAAACATTTCAAACAGATGTTTATAGGATAATTCATAGGTCTGAAAATACAAGTCAGTCCCTTTCAAGCAGTTTAAAACAGAAACAGTAAAGGACTGCCATGGCTTTGAGATACTTTGGTTGTAATACAAATCCCAGAGTTCACAAGCAAGAGGACTACAAAGATGGCCATGCTACAAAAAAATACAACTGGCATCAAGAGCACTGTCACTAACAAAAAGAATTTTAAAGATAAAAATGGAGCATTTTGAAGGGGAAAAAAAAAAAAAGCTTGGGAAAAAAATATTGAGCATCACAATTTTACAAGAAGCTGGAATATTTCAGGACCGATGCAGTTTTTACAAAAAATAAAACTGTCATTGTAATTTAACCAGCCTCATTTTGCTACAACTGCCTATCCCACCCAACAAACCTGACTCAATACCATTTTACCCATCACAAGTCTCCCAAGTAAAGTAAAGCCTTCTCCTTCTAGATACATGTTATAATCTTATTGACTGCTCAAATGTAAACTAATCTTAAAATTCCAGATATTTTTAGAATATTATAATACGTGAAACCAAATCAGAACTACGATGAGTTTTTTTCCCCATTTTCTGAGTTTAACCATCAGTTATTTTTTTTGTTAGCTTTCTGGCTTAATAATAATTTGTTTTTTGTGAAATTAACTTCTTCAAATGCTGCGTCTTTGTGACAGATAACGTAGGTAAATACTAAAAATTCTCAAACACTGCTCCGTAAATATAGGTTACATCGTGTTAAAAATAATTCAGCTGCCAGGCTGTGGAGTCTAGTACGGGTAGCCGTCAGGGAGGCCCAGTCTTTGGATGCACTGCTCCACTCCTTCAGCCAGATAAGGCCCGTCATCTTCATAGCTGGGGAGGTGGGAGCCTTCGTCCTCGCTGGGAGGTAGGACAGCATCCGGGTCAGGCTTGAGACTTGGCCTCTGATTGTCTGGGAAAGCCATGGAGAAAAGTGCCTCGGGGTTGCACACGAACTTGTAGACGTACCGCTCACCGGCCACCTGCAAAGAGTTTGGGTTGAGAAATTTAAAATAAATAAATAAATAAATAAATAAATAAATAAATAAATAATAATAATCAAACAAAAGTAATCTCTCAAAAATTTGGAAATTGATGACAAAATGTTGAGGACAGAAAACTGCAGTTTCTCTAACGGCCACTTGAGGCTGGTTTAAACAGCGAGTCAGTCTCCATGGACTTCAGTGTTTAAATGACCAAAACAGCAGAAAAAAAAAACAACACTGATGATGTTTAATAACCTGGTACAACAACACACACAAAAAAATAAATAAATAAATGCCTTTAATAAAAATTATAAAAATATATATATATATATATATATATATATATATATATATATATATATATATATATATATATATATATATATATATATATATATATATATATATATATATATATATATATATATATATATATATATATATATAAAAAAAATAAAATAACCTCAAGTCTTTTAAAACTCAAAACATTAAACTGGATGGCTTCCAGATGTGCTTCATTAGAGGCTAAGATTAGAAATAAGAGGTCAGAAACTCAGTGCTTCAGTGTAAGGGCCCAATAGCTAGTTTTTTTTTTTTTTTTTAAATAGTTTGTGATTACAACAACATAGGAGTAAAGGAAGACTCAAGTGGAACATGAACTGCCTTTACCTTCTGCATAATGCCCTTTTCATAATAGTACCGCAGCGAGCGACTCAGCTTATCGTAGTTCATGGCAGGTCGATTCTTCTGGATCCCCCAGAGCCGAGCCACCTAAAAACATGATGGGGGAGGGAAAAATTAATATATGGCTTTAAAATGTTGTTTTTCCCCAGTCTTAAGAATATTAAGCTTCTCAAAGTTCCACATTAGGTATGCAGTAGCTGACCTCTTCGGGGTCAATCAGCTTGAACTCCATGTTTCGCCCCGTCCAGATGATCAGGTGTGCATTGGCTGGGTTGTCCAGGAGTGTGAGCAGGAACTGCCACAGCTGCAGGGAGCCACGGCGCTGGTACGGCAGACCCTCCTGTTTCACTTTACCTGGTGAAGACACGCAGAAGTCACCTTTCCTGCTTTTGTGCTGTTTTGTTGGTTGGTTGGTTGGTTGTTTTTTTTGGGGTTTTTTTTGTTTTTTTAAACCAATTTCTTGATCGTTTGCTCATTTAAAAAAAAAAAAAAATAAATAAATAAATTATGCTTTTTTTTTTCTTTTTTTTTTTTTTAAATCACATCTCATTGGACAGAACATAGTTACAACATTAGAAACAGAATACTCAACCTGGTGTATGCAAATGCCAATAACGAACACAATACCGCCAACTCACAGCACACTGCCTTAAATGATATTGTCCTTCCCTCCTTTGTCTTATACACTAAGTGTTAACAAGGATGTTTTGGAAGTCCGTGTCTTACCTTCCAGCCTTTCCGGCACAACACAGGTGTCATCATAGTACAGACACTGCTCTCTGTCTGGACCAAATCCTGTGGAGCAAAGAATAGAGTAAAAAGGCTGTGGCAGCATGAAAAGGCGTTTTTAAACCCAGGACACAAACTCACCTGCACTGTTATTTTGGTACAAAGCAGACTTCTCAAAGGATGACGGCTGGCATGTTTGAACCTCTGAAAGGCACAAAAGTCACAATTCTTCATAAACTGCAAGCAAATGTAAAGTGTCTGAGCCTAGGCCTGTAGTTATTTGAATGTTTCACCTATGGCAAGACTGCCTGTTACCCTAACAGACGTGAATACATTTTATTCAGATGCCGTCGCCACACTAAGGGTAACATACCCGAGTCATAGCCAAAGTCCCTTGGCTCTTGTTTAATTGTGACATGGTTGAAGGCAGTCTGAGGACGTGCCAGACCTGACGTAGGAGGCCCTGGCTCTGGATATCTCGGGTCCACCAGTTCTTGTTTAAAACCCCGGGGAGCGTGGGGAACCAGAGGCTCTGAAAGGTGGCGCTGATACATTGGCCTCCCGTCACGGATGGCGGGGTGGTATGGCGTGTTTGCGGTCTTCTTTGGAGGAAGGAAAGACAGGCAGGGATCCGACAACTGCCGCTGGAACCTGAAGTGTGGAAAGAAGTGGATGTTTAAAGGTTTGAAGCTCATTCGCTTCCAGCTTAAACCGCGCGCGTGTGTGTGTGTGTGTGTGTGTGTGTATATATATATATATATATATATATATATATATATATATATAGATTTATTTTAAAGCTTACCTTTGTTCTGCATTGAACGACACACTGGAAGAGCCGATGGGAGGATGTGGCATAGCAAACTGCTGGCTTTGATTGGCCTGTGGAAGGTTGCGGAGGTGGGAGGGGCTAAGGGCAGGAGTGTGGTTTGGGGAGCAGTTGTTGGTCAGCTGAGGGGTAGATGGCTGTAACTGCCTCTGTAAAGGTGGAGGTCCAGTAGGGTGGATGGAGCCACGTTGTTGTACTGCAGGTGTGGAGGATGGAGTCGGAGCGGGCTCACAGGCACTAAGGAGACCAGATAAAAACACATCATCCAAAAGTTCTGTCTGCCAGGTGTGTGGTGGTGGTAGTATTGCAGTATATCACACACAGGTTTAAAAACATGAATGGTTACCTGTAGCTGTAAAGGCACATGTCAGCCTGAGGCGTTCTGCAGGGAGAGAAGTCTTTGGACGGACTGGGTTCACGCTTCACTTTGCTGGCGGCCAGTCCATGAAACATCACTGCAAAAAACACACAGGCAAATAATACATACATGTTTGCAGAGCATGGAATGAACACCCTTACATTAGATGGCCAAGTGGACTGCTTCAAAGATTAGTCTTTAAAAAAAAAACAACAACTTTCCTTTCTGATAAAGCTCATAGTTCAGGCAGAATCAGGTGATAAGCTTAGGCTACGCAGGGCTTCCCATGATGCAGTGTTCTACTCAACACAGTGTCTCTGTACAACACTCTGCATTTCCACAGTGTCTCGTCTGTCCTGTTGCCCTCCCCTCAACCCCAATGCCTCAGTGCAGATGGCCACCCCTCCCCAAGTTTGATTCTGCTGGAGGTTTCTTCCTGTTAAAAGAGAGTTTCTACTTCCCACTGTCACCAAGTGCTTGCTCACAGGGGTCATCTAATTGTTGATTTTCCCCCACCTGTGTTACTTCAGTTCTTTAACTTCCAATATCCTAAAATTTATTTATTCCCCCCCCCGGTATTACAAGTATATGAACATCAGTCAGTCTTTATCTCAAAACTGTGTTTTTTGCTGTCTCAAATGAGTAAAATTGAATGTTCTGTCCCTATTCAATGCCAAGGCATTTTAATTGACTTCATCATCATCAGTTCATCTTTTGCACAGTTACACAAGTCTCACACTCCTAATTTGCCTCCAACTGCCTAGTGTTGGATCCCTGGTGAGCGTAATGGTTAGACAGTTAGGATTACGCAACATTACCTCTGGGAACACTGGTTGGGAAAATAATGTGTTTGTTGAAGCAGCACTTCCATAACCAAAACACACTCGAGACCTATTAAATGGCAGCTTTGGTGGAAACATTTGCCTGCTGGTGTGGCAGAACGGCTTCAGATCCAAATTAGAGTTTACCGCCAGCGCTTCAGACCCTGAATATTTCCCTCCTAACTCTTATCTGCTCATGTTGATAATTTAGTAGCAATGACACCTCACATTAAATAGACAAGCTCTGCACATCTTTAAGTTGCACTCTTCCAGTTTGCAATGCAGGCTTTAGCATAAAGTTTTTCCTTTATCGTCCCTTTCAGCGTTTGCTCCCGACTCCTGCGTCTGTGAAAGAAAGGAAACCTACCCCTATCTGATCTGAGCTTTCCAGGAATCTGTAGAGATTCTCATCAGTATGCTGCGCCGATGACGCCAGGCCGCTAATGTTTCCATCCACGACACGGTCTCCGTCAGCTTTATTGTCCGCACGGGGAGTCGTTGTGTTGAAGCAGCTATGATTACGGCAACAATAAGTATATGCAATACGTGTTTGGCAGGAGCACTAAACGCACCATTTCCTCATCGCCCGCGTTATCTGTAACACTTTTAAGTACAGTACTTTTTTTTATCTCGCCTCATTTCCTCTGGTACATGACGACTATCATTTAACTGGCAAAGCTCCAAGGTGAATGGAAACACCAACGAATGAGAGCACTGTAAACAACTGGTTTTACACCAATGACCTTTGAGATCACGAGTCACAATCTGGTAAGTTCAGTGGAGTTTATCCATTTGAGCAGGAAGCTGCACAGATCCTAAATGAGAGCCAACAGCTGACAGTGCAATGTGATCACACGTGCCAACCCTCTTATGTCCAACTCCACGTTAAAGACCAACTTCCAGCGCTCAGTTCCAGACCCATCATAAAGCTCTCACAAAAATACTCTCGTGCATAAATAGTGCGCACCACTGCTAAAACCTGAAATCGTAATCTCTCCAAACATCCAAGAAGAAGCAGGTACTCACAGTTATTGGACTGGAAATCCGGGACAAACTGCTCGTCATCGGTAGCTTGAGCTGAGAGGGAGGAAAAGACATGCCGTTTAAGGACCCCTCTCATCAACTATCACACATCATTTGTATAATGTGGGATGCTCACCTTCAGCGATCCATATTTCTTGGAGCTGAATCAGGTCTTGGAATAGATCTGGAAGATGGTTTCACATTCATTTGTTAGAATGTGTGTGGGCGCAATTATTTGACATTTCACATGTAATTAATGACAACAAATGGCCTATATAAGACTGTCAGAGAAGCATGACCTATTAAAGAAATACCAAAGACCACGAGGGGCACTTGAAAGAACAGGGGAGGGGGAAAAAAAATAATCCTATTAGCAAATTTATGAATATAATTTCTCCCCACATTGTTTGTATCCAGCAGACAGATGTTATCCTGGCACTCACAAGAAGTTAGACTGACTATGAAACTGCAGTTGAGTTTTATATGTACCTTCTGTGTCCTGAGCCAGCTCGGTGTCCATGAACTTCCTCTTCCTATCGCTGAGACACTTTGCTGCTTCCTGTGTGTGACATTTCTGCAGAAATGGGCAAAGGAATGAAACTCAGCACACATGCAGCAAGACAATAAAAAGATAAGAATATAAAACCATAACGTTTCAAACTCACACTCTCAGGGACCACAAAGGGAACCTGCTGATCATAAAAGGCCTCCATGTTGCAGGAGTCTTCACCCTGGGATGAGCAGTGAGGAAGTGATATACTTTGAACATACTGGAGTCATTAAGCAGAAATCCAAGTCTATCGTAGTCTATTTTTCCCCCTACAGGACTAGCCCCTCCATCCATACTACCATCATCCCTTTCACATGACTTGGCATGTTTGTTTACAGTGGCTATAAAAGCCCCGTTGTCACAGAAAGAATTATGCAATCTGCAGTACGCAAATCTGACATGAATAAACTGACGTGAAGCTGCGGGAGGAATCGCTCTTCAAAGGCTGATTTGAGGCAATGAAAAGAAAGCAGCTGAATAGTCAAATAAAACATGACGTCTTTTCCTTTGGCTGTGCTGTGCCAACTTTAATGACGTACAGAGAAGCATATGTACAAAGAATGACAATGCTATGTTTGAAAAGACAGGAATTAAAATGGTTTGATGCTTTGCTTGCCAAGAGATAGGATTAAAGAAGAAACATTTAAAAAACAAACAAACAAACTACTTGTTCAGCTAATAATGCCAATACCTAATCACATTGCTGCAACTGAGTGCATTTAGGCACAGTCAAGGTGACCAGCTGAAGTTCAAAGTGAGCATTAGAATGGGGAAGAAATGGAAGTTAGGTGGCTTTGAATGTGGCATGGTTGTTGGTGCGAGTATATCAGAAACTGCTGAACTGTTGGGTTTCCCCGCACAATCGCCTCTAGAGTTTACTAAGGCTGTTTATGCTAGAGATCAGAGGTGAATGACCAGACTGCTTCAATCTAATAAGGCGGAAACAAATAAATCAAATAACCACTTGGTACAACCAGAAGAGCATCTCTGAATGCACAACACCTCAAACCGTGAAGCAGACAGGCAACAGCAGCAGAAGACCACACCGAGTGACACTCCTGTCACCAGGAAACAGGCTAAAATTTGCACAGGCTAACCAATAATTAGACAAGGGGGGGGAGAAAGCTGCCTGATTTCTTCTGTGACATTCAGATGACCAGATAACTGGTTGTAGTGCTGCAGTTTGTGCCAGCTGGGCATTGTTAAATGCCACACTTTACCTGAGCTTTATTGCTGGCCATACCCATCCCATTATGACCGTAGTGTACCCATCCAGCAGAACAACAACGTCATAAAGCTCAGATCACCTCAAACTGGTTTCTTGGTGTACCTAAAGTAGCCGATAAACGTATATATGCGATAAAGATATGGGACATTATTTTAAACAATGTTTTGCACCTCTTAACTACACCAGATTTCAAAGCTTTGTAAATTTCTACATTTTTAATGTTTCTTCAAACAAAAAAAAGGGGGTTATTGACCTGGCTCAAACTGCTCAAGAGTCCAACTAAAGCTCGTGAAATATGGGACAAAAGTAAACAGTGAAAAACTATTTCAAGAGATGAAAAGGTCAGCCCCCGACGTTGCGTAACGTTTTGTCTAGTCTTCGGTTAAAGTAACCTCCACAAACGATTTAGTGTGTGAGTGTGAGTGTGTGTGTGTGTCACTCGGCTTTGCTTCAGTGACTACAAACACCACCGAGGAGAAATCACGCCAACTAACTCCGCTAACGTTAGCAACAAATCCTCGCTTAAAGTGAAAGATTTGTGAATGGAGTTTCGCGTGACGCTCGTTGAGTCCTCCTTGTTTTTCTCAATGAAGTGAAACACGATACTGGCTGAGGCTGAGGAGGAGGGGGGGGGGGAGACACCCGCTCACCATTGAGAAATTTCGCCACAGACAAACAGTGAAGGATTCCCGGCGCCAACAAGCTGAAAAAAAGGCTGCTGCAGACGGAAATGCCGCACTGCAGGCAGGCAGACGGTCGCGGGGAATAAACGCAGCGCTGAGTTAGATTTTTAAGAAAATGGCGTTAGCCTCTGAACGCCTATGTGCTCCCCTCGGAGCCTGTAGCAAAGAAAAAAAAACCCGCGACCATGCATCTGGTGTTTATGTAATTAAAGGCAAGCAGGCGCCAGCTTTTACTAAAGCGGTAAGATAAAAACAAAAAGAAGAAGACTCACTCGGTAAGTGAAGTTTCTTGGCAGTGTGAAAACAGAACTCGTCGCAGATTTCCTCCCCTACATCCCATGCAGCACCTCGATTAATCACTCGGCTGTGGATTTTTCTCAATGAAGGACTCTGATAGCTGCGGCTAAAACGAACGATCTCCTGCCCTGCCATTGGCTGGAACTCAGAGTCAGTCAGAAGGCGAGCCAATCGTCATCGAGGCTGCTCTGTGGCCCGGCCCCCGCTGTTTTTTATGAATGGCTGCGTTTCATTCATGAAACCAGGACTGTCTTAAAGTGCCAGCGCTGCAATTAAGGTCTTATAAAGTAAACAGGTAAATAAATAACCAAATTCAAGGTCATCTGTAACTTCTACACGGGAACAATAATGATGAAAATAGCACTAAAAGCATGCCTTTGCTGGTTTATTATATAGCCTACTGATTTCAACTAAATCAGGGGTGTTAAACATAATGCCTGGCAGCTTTAGAAAATTTGAAGCAGGGCATATATGCACACGTATACACACACACACACACACACACACACACACACACACACACACACACACACACACACACACACACACACACACACACATATATCCCTCGGGTGGGTTCCTCTGGGAAATTCGATTTCCAAAAAAGCACAGCACCGACAGAAGTTACAGAGTTACAGAATATTATATATATATATATATATATATATATATATATATATATATATACACACACACACATACACACACATATATAAATACAGAGACAAATATAAATAAAATATACGAAGGGGATAAATAGAATAGATAGGAATAAAAAATAAAAATACAAGTGAATTGCACATTTCAAGTATTGAGGTCTATTGCACTGTTGACTATTTACAAAAAGTATTGCACAAGGTATTGTACAGTGAGGTGAAGAGGCACTACAGCTTAGTTGTTCCCCCCTCCTTTGTCCTCCTGTTTCCCCTCCCTCTCCCCTCCAGAGTGGAGTTAAACAGTCTGATGGCGTGTGGGACAAAGGAGTTTTTAAGTCTGTTAGTTCTTGTCTTGGGGAGAAGCAACCTGTCACTGAACAGACTCTTCTGGTGGTTAATGGCCGTGTGCAGAGGATGCCTGGCATTGTTCATAATGTCCATCAGTTTCTTTAATGTCCTTTTCTCTGCCACTGTCACCAGAGTGTCCAGCTTCATGCCGACCACAGAGCTAGCCCTCCTGATCAGTTTCTCCAGCCTGGATGAGTCCCTCTTTGCTGTGCTGCTCCCCCAGCACACCACAGCATAAAAAAGTACTCCAGCAACCACCGACTGGTAAAACATCCTCAGGAGCTTCCTGCAGATGTTAAAAGACCTCAGCCTCCTGAGGAAGTACAGTCGGCTTTGGGCTTTTTTATACAGGTGCTCTGTGTTGCATGACCAGTCCAGTTTATTGTCCACCCACAGCCTGAGGTACTTGTACTTGTTGACCACCTCCACCTCCTCCCCCTCTATCTGAACCGGCAGTGGACCTTCTCTGGACCTCCCGAAGTCAACAACCAGTTCCTTAGTCTTTGAGGTGTTGAGTTGCAGGTGGTTTGTGTGACTCCATGCGACAAAGTTCCTCACCAGACTTCTGTACTCCTCTTCCTGATCATCCCAGATACACCCCATGATGGCTGTGTCATCTGCAAACTTCTGAATATGGCATAATTCAGAGATAAAGAGATCTTTATCTTTAGACCATGCATGCTGCACCAAAGTAATAATGTAATACACAATCTACTATATTTAATTCTACACTATTTTTTCACAATTTAAGCCCAAAGAGTTACGCTGAC